GGGGGGGGGGGGGGTCGACGAGGGAGGGGAGGAATCTGTGCGCTCTACGAGGGAAATCTAATATCTCTAATTTATGATGCCAATTATATACACGGGAGAGCCCGCGATGATGTCATAGCCATTATTAGTGGTGCAATTCCGCGGAATGTCGGCCGCTAAGTTATGAAACTACAGAAATCTATTCGCGCCGAGCCGCGCCGCGCGCTGCTGTATACGGTACACTTTCTTCCAAGCGAGAGATAAATATCTCTCGCGCGTAATTGTACCGCCGGACTGCACTAAAACCGCGCGACCGGCCGGCGATAATTTCGCGATAACTGGAAATTTAATCCCTTCCGGCCGCAACAAATTCAATTGAAATAAGCGGTTGCGCGCAGGATCCGTAAATAACCGAAACATTATCTTCAATTTGTCCGTCGATGCCTTGCCACGGTTGGTTTTAATCCCTTCGCGCGGACACTACCTCGCTTTCAACGCGAACGAACACGGCAGAAAAAATCTCCCGTCTGAATGTTAACATTTTCTCGCGTTGCCAACTTTTAGTAAAAATCAAGTCAGACTTTGACATGAGAACTAATAAAGTTCACCGAACGTTACACTGTTACGAATAATTGATGAGTGAAAATAATCGATCTCATGTATTGGACGAAAATGCGTTAGTGTCAGATTCGTGAAAATTTTCCACTCGTGAACAAGTAACACACGACGAACGGGTTATTTCGATTTACTTCGGAGTGGACTTTCTGGGACGTGTAAGAAATGTTAAAATTAACATTTTCTACCGTGAACGGATAAATCGTTTCTCTCGCTCGCTGCATCGGACACACAACGAGTCGAATTCGCGAAATATTTTTGTAGAAAAGCGATACTAACCGCGAAATATATCCGCGGGGAAGTTATTCGGAGCGCAATTTTATTTGCGGAACCGCGATATGCGGAACGAGATAAATCCGCGCAGGAAATCGCGAGCCATTCCGCCGGACGTTTCTCTTTCTGCTTCGCGCACACGTAAGATCGCCGATGGCGGACGCGACGCCGATCGGAATCGCCGGGTCGTGAAGGGTTAACAGGCCGATCGGAACTCAGGTGGCTTTTGCTCCGCGACTTCATAAGCGGAATGTTGCCGCGGCGAGAGAGGCGGAGATAAGTTAGGCTCGCCGCACGGAAAAGCGATCGAGGCGGTTTATCGCCCCATCGGCCGGGCAACTTGATCCCGCGATCGTCCCCCTCGCCGCGAGGTTGTTTCCGCAGTGGCGGATTCGACGATGCCCTGCTCGGAAAAGCTCGGCCGCGACGGGGACGTTTACGAACGAGGCGAGATATTCCGGCTGACCTGAATCTCCCTTTCTCTCCTTGCCCGCTCGCTCTGTCTCGCGCGCGCAAAAGCTACCGCGCACCTCCGGCTCGCGTCCCCTCAGCGCGACCCGCGCGCGCTATCGATTATTCACACAAATATTCCGCTCAGCTCCATGAAAATCCTCCGGAGAGTTTTCCTGCAACTCCTTCGAAAGACATTACAATCCGGCCGGCCGCCGTGAAAAGCGATCCAAGCCGTACACACCCGGGCTGACCTGAATCTCCGTATCGCGAGGATACGCTTCTAATATCCGAGGATAATCGAGCTTACTGCAATGAGAGAGAGGGAGAGAGGAGTCCTCCGTCTCGGAGGACACTGCCAGCCGTCGTAATCCTTGACGTTTCTGAATTCCGAAAGAATTCCTGCTCGCCGGGGCGCGATGGCCAAATGGCCGTGCAACGCGATCGCACAAATTTACCGTCAAATTTCGCGAAAGACCCTTAAAGCCCGGGCCGAAAATATCGCATTAACTCCCGATGTTTCCCGGAGACTCGATAACGATCCGCGCGACGATTACGAGGTCGCAATGGTGGGTACTCTCTCTCTCTCTCTCTCTTGCTCGCTCTTTTTGCCGCGAGCACACGCGTGATTCCGTACTCTGCGCGAAAAGAACAGAAGCTGCTCGAATAAGATTGGGGGAGGAGATGCGATACGGTGCGTGTGCGCATGCAACGCGGCGAATCAATTCCCGCGGGGGGTTCGCATCGGGGAACATTTTGACGAAAATATCGCGAAATTCGGTCAGTTTAAAAGTGGGACGCATTGTCAGTTTGAATTTTGTCTCGACCGCACGCTCGCGAGAGGTGGGCCAATTCTGTTTGACGTTGTCGATGTACGGTCATTTAAAAATGATATACCGGTAGTTTTATTTGTTGCAATATATGTGTCGCGGTCGAACGTCAACGCTCCGTCATTGGGACCGCGACAATTAACTGAAAACAAAAACAAAGATAAAAATGATAGGTTGCTTTTTGGAAGTATCCATTGTACCCGGAAATATAACGCAGCAATAATATGCAGAAAAAAATATTAGAATTAAACGTAAACGTAATTATCTGTTTTTCAGACTGTTAAATCATGTATATGTTTATCAAGTTCAATATATTTTAATAACTTACTGAATGTAAGTGAAAAATGGTTCTAAATGTAAGAGAATATTTACTAGAATTAGCAATACTTCGAATACTTTTGTTCCATTGAAGATATCTAGTGGTTTGAAATTTCTGCCAAATAAATATATTTTCTAAAAATGAACTCTGATATTCCTAATATTATGAATTTAATACCAGTCGCAATTTCCGCAAGTTCCGACACATAGAAGCAAATGAAGAAAATATCATATTGCACATAATGAATTATATTTTAACTTCTAGTAAATATTTGCCAAGGAATATTGAAATAACCATTTTATTCGGATCAGCTAAATATTACTGGTGATCGTTATTTTAATTGCGAAACGTTCGACGAGCACGTTCGTATCTCGAGCGAGTCGCAACAAACATTAATTTACGTCTTTTCATTTATTTATCCATTTACTTATTTATCGCTTTACGTTTACTCGGAATTTGCATATGATTTTCAGAATATAAAAAACCGTGCGGCTGAGCAGCAGAGTGCCGTGAATCGTCACAAATCGTCGATACCACTCCTAGCATCGGTAAGTACAAATCGATGTCGCAAGAGTAAAAATGCAAGGGAAAGTACGTCGCAACCAGCGGCGCGGTATCGCGGCGGAGTGTAGCGTCGCGGAAGTCGAAATACGCGCTACGAGGAGAAACGATCGCGAGCCAGTTTGGCGCAATTCCTGGCGGATCGGCATTCGGCTCTGAAATTCGCGAGAGCGGGGATAGTCTCGCCGCCTTTGCAGAAATCCGGAGAGCCTTGCCGAGCTCTTACCGCGAGTCGCGCAAGGCCGTTTCAACGGTGGTATTCGGGCCAGCCGTTTCTCTAGAAAGGAGCACGCCGCTTACGCGGCCGCGACACCGCTCGCACGCAGGAAACAAAAACATTTCTCCGCCGGAGAGTTTCTCGCTCCGGAGAGCGGAGATCCTGCGGCGCCTCGTCGATGGACCGTTCGCTCGTACGCGCGTATCCTCGCCGAGATATGCACGCACGGTATTATCGCGCAGAGAGCGCCGCGTTCTTCCCGGAAAGAGAAACAAGCTCACTCGCGCGCGGCCGAAATTCGCAACAATGTGCTACGCTGCGCTAAACAATGCCTGAGAAACTCGCGTCAAAGTATGGACGCCCACGCTCGCCAAATTACTGGCATATTTAACGAAATCCGTTACGTAAGGAGATATATTGCCCGTACTTTCGAGAGAAATCCCACCCCCCCAAACGCTCGCTGGACTCGCGGAGCGCGCGCGCGCGAGTGTGTCGGTGGTCCTCTGTCGCTCTCTCACCTACCGGCACGGTACGCGCGCGTGTACGTAGTCAAAGGCCATTGTGCCACTCCAGGATTCCGACGTGAGTCACACTCCGTGCCCCCGGACGTGGTGTGTTGTTGTCCGAAGTAAAGCGCGCGGTATGGCATGGCGCGGCATGGCATGGCACGGCATAGCATGGCACGGCGCAATCGCTCGGCTAATCGAGATCACGCTGACTCAGAAAGAGCCCGGGAGAGAGAGAGCCTGTCTTTAAACACGCTGCCTAATAAAGCGGCTTTTCGGACAACGCACGCACACACGTGAGACGGGGGTCACCGAATCCGGGGACACACCGGCAGCTGATCGCGCCGTAGAAGGCCGCTGTCAAAACCCGTCCCTCGACTTTTGACAGACCTTCCCTTATAAATCAAACATCGGCCGAGCGGTAACGACCACGCCGACGATGACACACGTGAGAACAAGGTCGTGGCAAAGGTTAACGGAGAGACGGATAAAACGATAGTGTGTGGACACATCGCAACGCCATTTCGTGGGAACCTTGCGCTGTTTTGAGCGCGAATTACTTTTACGCGCCTTCTCGTCGCGATCGACCGCAGTCGGTGTCCGCGTGTCTCGCTTCTTCGACTTACGTTACATAAACGAGCTTCGGTTATATAAACCAGGCTTTGACGCAACGAGCGATGCAAAGGATTATTTTCGACTTTTTCGCGCGTACGCGTGCAGCGACGTATAAGGTCAGCTTTTTAACGGCGCGTTCTTTCTCCTACTTTTATTGTTTCTTCTCTTTCCCTTTTCCCCTTCGGATGACTTTGTCACGAGGAAAATATCCTCGAGGCAGAGGAGGAGAGGGAGAGAGCCGAGTATCAGGAAATCGCTGGAGGGAAAAGAAACGAGTCGCGTTATTTCGCGAACTGTCCGATTCTCAGGAGAGCCACTAAAAAGTTAAGAGCCTCGTTTGGCAGGCCGAAGACTTCCCCGATCCACGGATACCGTATATATACGCTCGCCGAAGGGAGGAAACGGAAAATTGCAACGGCTTTCGTTCGTCCGTCAGTTCATTCGTTCATTCGCTCCTTCGTTCACTCGCTCGCGCGCTTCGTTAAGGTCATCGAGCGGATCTCTTGATTTCGCGCCCGGCGTTACCAGCTATCCCAGCCATTTCCGGTTTTTGCCGCGTGTATCCGTCGGCGTATCAGTTATGCGAGAGGCGAGCACACACACATTCACGGTGGAGACGCATGTACTCGCGCGAGGAGAGAAGGCACGGCGTCGGCCATTAGCATATCCTGGTTCTCAGCGAGCCGATCATTTCGATCAGCAATAAAGTACCCCGCCGCGGCGAGTTACGCAAAGATTATGCATTGTGAACACCGTTGCATCGCATGCGCGCGCGAGCGTCGCTTATACACGTACCTCACGTACGTGTTCCGGAGGCAGACGCGTGGAATAACCGTGAAGGCAGGACGAAAGAAAGAGAGAGAAGAAGAGGTACGCGCACCGTTGCGGATCGCAGACGACCGTAGCCGAACGGAATTCCGCTTTCGGAATCCTACAGGACCGTTTTTTTCTTCCGGCCTCCCTTCCTTCTTTTCCTCGGCAACACGCCGCGACGCGTCTTCCAGACGCAAACGAACGGATAAAAAAACGCAGCTCGCGCTGCATTCCGCGCCGTTTCGGAAAGCGGTATTACGTCGACGCGCGTGATTTCTGCGAATTTCTCGACGGACGCGAGTTCGTGCGGCTCTCGTTGTTCGCATCGGGGGAATCCTGTCGTCAACGGGGTCGATAATTTCATAGAGATGGATTTAGTCCAATCAACGGATACTTATCGTCGGATATTTCCTAATTGGAATTGATCGGTTATATACTAATCAAGTTTTTCCGGATATGAAAACTGATCGGAAATATCCGTCTGTCATTTTTCCATCCGTATGTCCAATCACTTTACATCGGATAATATCCGGATTTTTCTGTCAGTGTAAGAATTAAAACAGACAATTTGAAGAATGTAAAGCAGAGTTTGCCGGGCAATATTGAATATTCAAATAATATTGATTCTTTTTTAATGTCTCTCAAAATTCACTTAAAGTTAATTCAACTGTCTACGTGATTTTCATTTTAATCCCGTTTTGCTGGCTTTTTTCGTAACTGCGTTTTTGTAATCAAATACCGAGCGCAGATTTACGCAATTTTGTACTAGTGGGAAATTTTCCCATTTACTTAATATAATAATAATATTAATTTGTTGATGTAAATACAGAATGGAGAATTATGACTGCCACATGTAATGTCGTCGATCTCATACCGTGTCGACGCGCGGTAGCGAACGTGTTAATCCTTCCCGCGGCGAAGATCGTCGGGTTTCAACCCCCTCGAGTCTCGTCATGCACCGCCTCTGCAGAATCGAGAGGGACGAAGAGAGTATTGAACCTCTCATGCGACGTGCAATTTTCGGTCGGTGCGTCTCGAAGGGTGCCCCCCTCCGCGACGGCGGTCTCGAAATTGCATGCGAAATCTCGGTGCGCCAGACGGCGAAGAGACGACGGCGCGGCTTCGATACTCGATAAGGGCCGAAGGGTGTAGGCGAGAACGGCGGACAGGGGGGAGAGGATCTCGCATGCCTTACGCCTCTGCGTTAGGGGCGGCTGGCGGCTGAGCGTGCTAAGAATACCGACGAGGAGAGAAACGGCCGGGAAGAATGTAAAAGACAATGGAATGTGTCGCGTCGCGCATGCGTGGCTCCGTGGAATGCGGCCCCGTAACGGCACATCCGTTAGCCACGGCGTCTGCCACGAAACGCGGGGCCTTATTGCGCGCAACAACCGCCTCTCTCGCCGGCCGTGGAGCGCGGCTAAGGGCCTTTCGCACAATGCGGCGGCGGTCGTCGTCGTTTGTTGTTTCTTCCCAGCAGCGGACGACCGCCGAGAGCCGAATTTTATGGGCCCGGCGATTAATTCCGCCGCGAGAGGAATGAATCACGACGCCGGAGATCCCCGCGGAGTCGTTTTAATCTCTCGTCACACCGTCCGTCGAAATTTACGTTCTTAACGTGACAGTAATGCGCGAGCTCCGTCCGAAATTTATCACTTGATGTTAAGCCACCTTAAACCGCGCGAATCGTGCGTTTCGTAATGTCGCACCTGACGAATGTAACGACTTCTCGATCTCCTCGTGGTATTTCGGACGCGCACACCGCGAATTTACCGATACCGGATCGGGGTTCAAACCAAGATCATCTAGAAGCGTCTAAATAATCTGTGATAAATAAATAAATAAAAACCACGCAAGTTATATATGGAAAAAATTCACAATTCAAGACTCATACTCTCATTTATATATATAAGCGAGAATATGTAATTTTTTGTAAAGATAAAAAACTTGCCTACATAAAAAAATGCTATCTATAATTCCACTGAAAATATGAAATGGACTTAAGAGCCCTTGAAGAATCCTTAAGAAGTCTCGAAATTTCAATTAATTCCTCCAGATTTTCCCAAATAATGCACATTTACCACGCGGTGGAACGTGTTGTGATAATTGGCCGACGCGCGGCACGCTTAGCATAAAGGGATCGTTCCGGATGATGCGCCGCGATCCATTTACCCGAAGCGCGCGCGCTCATCCCGAGGAGTTCCTTTATCGGAGGTTCTCTCTCCGCGTCCGAATCCCCGGCTCGGTGGTGCATAAAGTAACCTGTTGAATATTTGCACCGGCGCGTTTTGTCAAGCGTTCCCGATACCGCGTCGAATCTTATCGGGAGCGCGTCGTCGCGCGGTCACCTCGGTCCTCAAGAGAGAAAGAAATCCGTTGACGAGGTCGCCTCGAACATCGCGTCGTCATCGGCTTGAATCAACGAGGAATGCGAATCCATCATCATCGCTCGGCGGATTATCGGGGACCCGTTTTCGCGTCCGAGCCGGTGGAATCTCGACGACAACGACGACGATCTTGGAGTGTGTTTTCGAGAAACGCTCGAGCGCGACCCCCTTCCGTCTCCCTCTTATTTACTTCGCAGCGCGAGATGTATACGAATGAGCTCGTTATGAATCTCTCCCTCTCTCCGTCGTTCTCTCTCACTCTGTCTCTCGATGGACGGTCGATGACGGCGAGGCCGCGAGTTTCGATACGGAGAGGTCCGGCGAGAGTGGCATTCGGTCGTTCGATCGGCCTCCGCATCGTTGACGCATCGCGATGACTCGTAATCGGAATTTCCTGATCGTTTCGCAACCTGCGGCCCCGATCGTGGATATTCTCGCGGTGCTTTTAC